CCTTCGGCGCAGAAAATATCCAAATCACAAGCTCATATACCTACCTAGGTCTAATTATGTCCTCGTCCGGCAGTTATTCTTTAGCCAAAAAACAATTATTTTTAAAAGCTCGTAAAGCAGTATTTAGTCTTAAACCCCTTATCCGCACATCCGCAACTCTTTGATGCGTGCATCAAATCTATAATGTTATACGCCTGTGAGATCTGGGGTAAAGATTATTCAAATGACAATTGTCCTGTAGAGATAACTCAGAACCGCTTCTGTAAAAATATCCTTGGTGTGCACAGGAATTCTAGTAACCTAGCAAGTAGGGCAGAACTTGGGTTGTTCCCAACAGATATAGATGTATCCGTCCGTGTTGTTAAATACTGGTTAATACTCAAACAACTGGACACTTTCACACACCCCTTACAAGTAGATGCATTACTCTGTCAGCAACACAATATGGGAAATAGTGGTAAGAAAAGCTGGCTACACCATGTCAAACAAATAATTAACAATGCAGGGTATTCTTTTTTATGGAACACCAACCACTGTACATTAGACAACAAGAGTATATGTACATTGTTGAAGAGTAGACTAACTGATATGTATGTTCAAACGTTCTTTCACCAGCTGCACATGTCTGTAGATAACGGCAAGCCTAAGATTTTACAAGACCGTCAAATCCGAATACTCCATGGAAAAATACCTATACCACAATGAATTCTACGAACGAGCTGCCATGTGTAAGATTAGAATAAGTGCGCATCCACTAGAGATAGAAAAAGGCCGCTATAGAAAACTACCTGTGCACGAGAGATTATGTAAATATTGTCCAATGAATGCAGTGGAAAATGAAATACATTCTGTTAGCCAGTGCCCTCACTATGAGACCGAAAGAAACAGATTATTTCAGACAGTTACAACAATCTCTCCATCATTTCGTCATTTAGAAGATCACCAAAAGACTACATTTCTACTAAGATCACAAAACCCACTAATTATATGCAGAATGTGGGACTATTCATTATCCACTGCCTTCAAAGAAGAAGTCGAACCCCTTAATAGCTAGCGTAGTAGTAGAGGTTTTTTTCCAGACAGATTGTTACCTGTCTCCTGTTACTGTATACTTGACTGTACAAGCAATTAGCCTTCGGGCATGATTTTGCAAATAAACATCACATTATTTCTCTAGTATAAAGCGCATGCCATAATTGCATTTTTGTTGGAATTAGAGAAAATGACGTACCTTCTATCGTTCTACCTTCTACCGAAGACTCTCCTACTCGCACGGTCGCATTACGTATATTAGAACGATAGAAGGTACGTCATTTTCTCTTATTCCAACAAAAATGCAATAATGGCATGCGCTTTATACTAGAGAAATAATTTAAAACAATAGTTGACCAGTTTGTCGATAGAACTTGTTGAAAATATTACATCGAGGAAGGGGGAGGGGTGTGGTCTTACGTCATATCCGTGACCGTTACTAGGCATTATGGGAAGTGTGAAATTGGTGAATGGTTGTTGCCCAACGACCGCACGTAGTAAAGTTACACATTGAACCTTGTTGTGAGACTAACCCCTGAGTAAACAATGAATGGAGCAAAGTCCATGTGCAAGTTTAGGGACAGATTTCTGGAGGGCAACGTTGCAACTTCAGCTACAGCCTTGGTTCAGGATTGTGACGAAATCTGTCTACTTCTTCCCGTAGTGGCTGGATGGCAAAGTAGTAAGGTACTACAATGCGTATATGTTTTACGGGAGGAGGTGTTTTTTATGCTGAAAATATACTGTGGGGATCGTGTGGCGTAACGGCAGGGTGTTTGGCTCTGAGAACTCAGAAGTCCTCGGTTCGAATCCTGTCATGCCAACGATCTTGTGCTAATTTTCAGGTTTAATAACAGAGGAAACGTCAGTCTTTTGACACTTTGCAGCAAGGTCTAATTGTACAGGTGCTGCAGCAGTACATGAGGTGGGAGGGGGGCCACGCTGTGATGGCTAATTTTCAGGTTTAATAACAGAAGAAACGAGTCTTTTGACAGTTTTTTTAATGCCAACACAGAAAATGGAAGCGAAGAGTCCCCAGCTATATTCCCAGAACCGCGCCTTGCAGCAAGGTCTAACTGTCCAGGTGCTGCAGCAGTACATGAGGTGGGAGGGGGGCGACACTGTGATGGACGTGGGCTGTGGCACGGGGGACATCTGCAGGTACATCTCCCAACAGCCAGGGGTCGCTTCTGTAGTGGGCTTTGATCTCTCTGCTGATTTCATCAGGTAAACTACCAACGTTACCTTTTTCATATACGTGTAACATTTTCCATCTTGAAAGCTGTGTTGGAAGAAGTCATTAGGCCACAGCAAGTAATTATTATGGATGACATCAGCGCGCGCATTAATTTTCGCCTGATTTTGGGAAAAAACAATAAATTTTGTTGCTTACGTCACGTATCAGTAAAGTCTCGTGTGAATAAGGTCACGTGTGTGTAAACCGTAACTCTCGCGATATCACGTTGTGAAGTGATTGGTCATTAATTATCCTGATGAAGGCGACAGTGGTCGCTGAAAATTTGATCCCTGTAAATAGTGTGTTGGAATAAAGTTTAACGTTTTACTAAAATTTTGTTGCCTTCTTACAGTGGTCAATATGCCGAAAATGGGTAAAGATGTCTGTTGCCATGCCGGAAGGTGGATGGCAGATAAATATGAAGAGAGGAGGCAAGAAAAGCTGCTCTGATCTAATGTTTTGTTTCTTACTTTGATGCAGTGATATGTGGTGCTGGTTGTGTATATGTGATGTTCCCCCTGAATCAAAACCATTTGTACAATGATTGAGTTAAAATTTTAAAATGTAGGAACCTTGTTTTTTTTCGGCCCGCCTTGGTTTTTTCGCCCGCTCGCATTAGATTTGGAGTCTGTGGTGGATGTCACCCACAAAATTTACATGCTGTGGCCTTATAAAGCAAGCTTGAACTGTAACTTCCAACGCTTCCATTGCTTTTATGTCTTTTACAGTTATGCCCGTGAGAGCAACTCGTCCCCAAACATTGTCTACCACGTAGGCGATGCCTCTGATGCTTCAACCTTCAAGTCAGAATGGAAAGGTGCCTTCGATAAGATAGTCTCCATCTTCGTTCTCCACTTCATTCAAGACCAGGTCGCAACACTGAAAATGCTGCACTCCTGTCTGAAGCCCGGCGGTGAAATCCTGCTGGTCACTATCAGTGAGAAAAGCACGATTTACCAAGTCTGGTTAGAGCTTGCTTCGCTCCCGAAGTGGGAAATTTACATGAAAGATTTTGTGGCCAACATGTTCCCGTGGCCCTCTAGCGATCTTGTTAAAAACAGCAGCCGACTTCTAGAGGACTGTGGTTTTCACACCCTCACGTGTGGCATCAAGGAACATCGGCAGGCTTTTGACTCTAAAAGTCAGATATTGGAAGGCATCCGCTCTGTGTTGCCGAGTAAGGTACCCCAAGATAAGAGAGACGAAATTCTCGTCGACTTTGAAAGGATTGCTAAAGACCGCCAGTGGATAAACAAGGAGAACATGGTAAATGATGCCTTTCCAGTCATTCATGGTCGGAAGCTGTGAATTCAGAAACCGTTTACCAAAAACCCCTATCACCTCCTTGGTTGAATTATACAGTAATACATCACAGATGTACAGAGTTGCATATAACAGAATAAAGACCACTCAAAACTGTCGTTTTTTTGGGTACAGGTTTAACGTCTATCTAGAACTGTTTTCCTTAAATGAATGAATGAATGAATGAATGAATGAATGAATGAATGAATGAATGAATGAATGAATGAATGAATGAATGAATGAATGAATGAATGAATGAATGAATGAATGAATGAATGAATGCATGAATGAATGAAGGAATGAATGAATGTGAATGAATGAATGAATGAATGAATGAATGAACGGACGAACGAACGAACGAACGAATGAAAATGACTTATTTTGTAAGACATTGCAGCCATTTGGCTAAAATACGTTTCACTTACCGTGATAGTATTCCATGAACACATAACTAACTTCAACAGATAACATAGAATATTACAACGTTAATTTGCAACGAGTCATTTGTTCGTACTAAGCAGTTTTAACTGATACGGTACAGTGCTATTTTGATATCGAGTGCTCCTGTGACCGTGTGTTGGGCAGAAGCTCTGCTGTGCGTTCCGATGCGGTCCGATGCAGAAGGTCGCCCATTGTCAAGCCACATACATGATCCTGCCAAATACATGACTCCGACACTACTTGGGGGTTTCCAATATACCTGAGACAAGGGGTGGGAGGGGTTTAGTCGTGATGTGGGAGACTAAACCTAACCTAAACCCCAATCGTAAGTCTAACTCTAGCCCTGAACAATGATCCCAACCCTAACCCTAACCCTAACTCTAATACCAACCCTAACCCTAACCCTAACTCTAATACCAACCCTAACCCTAACCCTAACTCTAATACCAACCCTAACCCTAACCCAAACCCTAGCCCTAAACACCTGACCTCTCACGCATGTGGCAGCTCAAGGATTTGGCTCAACACCGTCTCTTTTCAAGTGTTTCAAGTTTGCATATCCGCAGCCCCGACGTGTCGTCAGTATATACATGTGTCCCAGAATGAGGAAGAGACGACTAGCGGTATTTGTCGAGATTGCAAGCTATCGTGAAGGAAAAGATATGCGTGGACGCTTATATATTTCTCTTTAAATATATCAGAAATTTCTAAACAACGCGAGCCTCGCAGTTAGACCAAACCCCAGCATACCTACTACACGAAACATGCAACCTTTTTCCGTCAGCGACATCGCATTTTTACTCCACAGATACAGACACAGATATCAGTATGTTATTGGGTAGGTTCAACATACCAAATAAAAAAAAGACTAGAAAATTGACTTAGAACTTCCACTGTTACTGCCCTGAAATCGCTTTGGTCGCCACAAAACGCACCAGCGAATCTGTGACGGTTGTGGTTTAAGGTAGTTTCTTTTTCGGTACGTAGTTTGAAATATATCAGTTTCCTTTCCTAGCCCTGACCCCTTCCCTGTAAGGTTGGATACGGGGTAAATTCTAGCGCTGATATCATTTCGGTGCGGGAGATGGTATTACGTGACAGTCGTTAAAAACATGGGGTGCATTCCGAGTCATGTTTCCTCTAGCGGTGGTCCAGTAGTAGAGTACAGCAGTTTGTGGTCACGGCTTGGATTGTTTGGTTCTCCGGTACGGTTATTGGTAGGGTTTGCGTTGTGAGAATGGCGGCGGCTGTGGCTGCGATAGGTCAGGCTAGTCAGTCTGCGGACATCGTGACTCCGCGGACGTTACGCCGGCAGATGTCCTGGCCTTTCAAGGCACGATCCCCGAACTGGAAGGACTTCGACCGCGACCTGACCGAAGAGTGGCGGCGCGCCGAGTTCTCGCTACACAAGAAGAGAGTCATCATCAACGTCAGCGGACAGCGCTTCGAAACCCAGCTGGAAACACTCCGGAGATTTCCGGACACGCTTCTCGGCAATCCGGAGAAGCTGTCGAAGTACTACGATCCCGTCCGGATGGAGTACTTCTTCGACCGGCACCGCCCGAGCGCAGAGGCGATCCTCACGTTCTACCAGACCGGCGGACTGCTGAAGCGGCCCCTGGAAGTCCCCGTGGACGTTTTCACCGAGGAGCTTCGCTTTTTCGAAATGGGTGAGGGCAACATCGACAGCTTTCGCTACCAGGAGGGCTACGTCAAGAAACAACCGGTCGAGAAACCGAAGAGCGATCTACGGGAAAAGATCTGGCGGATCACCGAAGATCCGAAAAGTTCGTGGATCGCTAAGCACTTTTCGTACACGTCTGTGTTCTTTATACTTCTCTCTGCGTGCGTGGCTTCACTAGAAACTCTGTCCGACTACATAGGAGAACTGTCAACCATAGAAACTCGCTTCACCAACCCGTTTTTCATTCTGGAGATCGGAGTAACGACATGGTTTGTTCTTGAAATCGCGCTGCGTATGGCTGGGATTGTGAATAAGAAAGCGTACGGGCGGTCTTGTCTGGGAGTTTTGGACATCATGGCCGTACTACCGCTCTTTTTCAACGTGATCGCCATGTTGGCCATACGGGATGCCCAGACACTTCACACCGTTCTCCGCTGCACCAGGATGCTTCGCGCCCTGAGAATCCTCAAACTCTCCCGCCACTCCAGAGGCTTGAAACTCATGGGTAAGACGTTAGCGGGTAGCCTGAGCGACATCGCCATGTTGTTAGGCTTCATGGCGATACTCATAGTTCTCTTCGCCGCGGGAATTTTCTTCGTGGAGGAGTCTGATTCGGATTCTCACTTCCGCAGCATCCCCGAGGCGTTCTGGTGGGCTCTGGTGACGATGGTGACACTAGGGTACGGGGACATGTACCCACAGACACCGGGCGGGAAGTTCGTCGGCTCCGTGTGCGCTCTGGCCGGGATCTTGACCGTCGCCCTCCCGGTGCCTGTCATCGTCACAAACTTCGACACCATGTACAACTTACAGGAGGAGGAACCAACAACAGATGAGGAAAAGGAAGAATAATGATTGACAGGATCAGATGCTTTTTTTTATTACACGAGTGCAAGGACACGACAAGGACATCCACAAAATGTTGAGCCAAATGTGGATTACAGTTGACATTTTCAGACGAGGCATAGTTCAGATAGATAGCCCGCTGTGTTTGTTTCTACCAGCGGCTAGAGATGAGGCTTCTTTTCGGGGTAAGGCCATGTTGATTTCATTATACGAATGACATCCACGCGCGCATGAATTTTTGGCCGTTAAAAAAAAGTTTTCAACCATACTGTAAATCGTACAAAACAGTTGAGAAATGAGCAAATATGTACCGTAGATGAAAAAAAGCATTGGAAAACGATACCAATGTCGTAGAATGCCAAAATCAGACGTGACAGACGAAAATGTTAAGAAATGAATTTGAAGAGTAGATTATTCGCCAAATCATACTCTGTGTTATTTGCTAAACCTTTAGAACCACGTAGATTTCAAAATGAAGGAAACTTTTTTTTGGCCAAACTTTTTTTTATTTCCCACGCTCGCATCAGTTTTGGGGTTCCCAGAGGAAGTCATCCATGAAGTGAAATCAACATGGCCTAAGAGCTGTATGTATACGAGTACGTATCAGCGGAGAGATCGAACAAGGCCCTCACCTCGAAAAGAAACCGCAACTTCAGCCAAATCCTGCCCCGCTAGAAGTCTGCACGGGAAGGCTACCGTTCAAACATTAACTCAGAACAGAATTGCATGGGAGAGTCGGAGATGGTGCATTTAGGGCACGGTCACATTTCCAAGCTGGAGCCCGGCCGGGCTTGTTTGCTGTCTTATATCATAATTTCTTTTCATACGACTACCCGGCCGGGTCCCGGGTTGGGAAATGTGACCGCCCATTTAGATGTGCTACTAGTACTTGGCATTGACAGATGGTTTGTAGTGGTGTTATACAATATAGTATGTCACGGGGGGGGGGGGACGGGATATATTTAGACGGGAGCTGTCAAAGTCACGCGCGGCTCTCTTTGCTACACCAGCCGCCGACTCGTAAACTGTCGTTACTAGCTATTTGAAACGGCGGTTGCGGAACGACACACTTTAAGTTAAATCAATTGGCACACACCTTTGAAGGCAACCAATGCAATTTCAGGGCGGCAAAGCAAAGATATAATAGATTAGGAAATTTTCTTTCACTAATTTCTTCACAATTTTCGCGATGCCATCATACATTTGTAATTTAATTACTGATTTTTTTTCCTGAATTTTATACGTTTTATTGCCCCTCAAAAAAATTCTGATACTTTTCAGATATGATATCGTCCAGATAGCGATCTAGTACCACGAACGTTTAAAATAAATGTATCCAGACGCGTGCTTTATCCAGAACCATACTCAGGCCTCGGCACGGTTCTGGATTGTCCAGGCGTATCCAGAATAGTACCTGGTGTTAATCTTGGATACGCAGAGGCTATCCGAACCGTACCTGATCCAAACCCTATATAACCCACTCAGGCATAGAAATAAATAGGCATGGTTCTGGCTACAATAGATGTCACTTGTAATCAGAAATTATGAATGTTTGAACACAGCTTGGGATAAATTGAAAGAAAGAAGGAAAAAAAAAACATGATTAAGATGGGCAAAATCTTCTTTGCTCCATGGCTTGCCATATTGTCAACTCTGATATTCAGATATCAAGTTCAACGTGTTGTGAGTCACTTTTCTTTAGCCTCTGCGTATCCAAGAAAGGCACTATTCTGGATACGCCTGGACAATCCAGAACCGTGCCTGAGTATGGTTCTGGATAAAGCACGGGTCTAGATACAACAGTATCTGGCACATTTATTTGAAACATTAATGATACCAAATCGCTAACTGGTTGATACCATATCCGAAAAGTATCAGAACTTTTTGAGGGGCAATAAAACGTATAAAATTCATGAAAAAAATCAGTAATTCAATTACAAATGTACGATGGCATCGTGAAAATTGTGAAGAAAATAGGGAAAGAAAATAGATTTCCTGATCTAGAATATTTTGATTTGCCGCCCTGAAATTACGTTGGTTGCCTTCAAAGGTGTGTGTTGATACACTTAAAATGTGTCGTTCCGCAACTGCCGTTTCAAATAGTAACGACAGTTTACGAGTCGGCGGCTCGTGTAGCAAAGAGAACCGCGCGTGACTTTGACAGCCCCCGTCTAAATATCACTTTTCTTTAGCGTCGAACCATATTGAGTATAGTCGTGCGTGTATCCACCAAAACGTTGCTTGTAGAGAAATTTAAGAGACATCCAATGCATTTTCGGGGCGCAAAACTGAATTTTTAAGGTCAAAAATTTTCTGGTCATTCCTCTATTATAGTAAGTTGAATCAATCCTATTCTATAGCATAGTCATATCTGTGAGGCAAAAATTTATATCGCTGAAAAAAACGGTTGCTTCTTTTTGTATCGTATGCAGCTGGTTCTAGCTACTTATGGCTGATAACCAAAAAATAAAGAGACAAATAGCTTGTTTTGGGGCTATTTCAAACGCTTTTTGAATTCAAGTATGAAATTATGATGAAAATATGCCAAGAAATGGCAATGAATATCAATATCAGACATTTTTCTTCCTTAAAATTTTCCAGAATGTTTTGCCGCTATAAAATTGCATTGGATGCCTTCAAGATTGCCAAAAATCATGGTGCTGTCACAGTCTGTTTGAAAATTGAAATTTCAACGACATCAAAATCTCAACATGACGGCCTAGTGTATGACGAATGTGACCGCACCATAACATGTCACATAGGATACGTTTTAGGCATACCGGTGGAAATAGCTCTCATGACCTTTCTATCTTTGGGAACATTCACACATAGAGTGTTACGCCTGCACGTACACTCGGTATCATTTGTCAATGGGTTTTGGAACGAAAGCAGTTTGTGGTTGTATGGGGGTCTTTGAAGTGCCGATGGTGCATTTTTTTTCAACATAAGGCCACTTAATTTTATGGATGACATCCGCGCGCGCATTGATTTTCGCCTGTTCTAAGATCAAGTCCGCCGAGGCTCTGACCTGGCTCTAGGCCTGGGTAGTCCATGGTAGTTAGCGACAATACGAAGCCGGGCACCCAGGCTACAGAAGCTCCACGACTCAGTACATACGTACAGTGCAGATTCATAAATTCCGCAAAAAGCCAGCATGTGCCGGCTTGTCGTATACGTCGCTATGTGTATGTACTGCCGCAAATTCACAATTATCACACTAGCTTTGTATTCCTGTGGTTTAGTAGCATTTTTATTTTTGGCCGGAATTTTTTTTATTCGCCCGCGCGCACTAATTTGGGGATCTTCAGAGGATGTCATCCATAAGATTAAGGAGGTGCGGCCTAAATCTGACTCAAAAGGGGACGGTATTGGAATTCAAACCTGGCATAGATGTGCAAATAATTTTTACCTTTTGCCTCCTACTTTGTATATCGTTTAAGAGGTTCATCAGTCACGTAAGATTAACAGTTAGTAGAACGTTCATTCTCGCGAGACTAGGTCACTCCGTGATCAAGATGTACAGTCGACATCGACATCGTGTTGGTAGTTACATGTTTAAAGTTAAAACTTTTGGTCCAACACAAAAAGTTCTCTCACTTAGAGCTTTCGACCAGTTACTCTGGTCTTCCTCAGTAGACTGACGGGGGCCGACATCGTCTACCAGATACCTTTGACCCAGTGTCCACGTCACACTTCAAAGAAGCCACGTGACAAGCTTCACTGGGTCAGTCTACTGAGGAAGACCAGAGTGACTGGTTGAAAGCTCTAGATGAGAGAACTTTTTGTGTTGGACCAAAAGGTTTAACTTTAAACATGTAAATTTGTATATGTTTTGATTCGTATGGAGAGTGTGCTGTGTTGTTATTGTGTGGAAGTTTATTGGTTACCTAATAGTATTTTAATGTATCTAAATTGTAACCTAAATTGTTAATTGTTTGTAATTGTTTATTGTCCAGTTATGAGGTCTAGCCCTTTATAATAGCCTCCGGCTAGTTGGGCAGTCCTGGCTGTTTATTCGTTTATACAGTTTATAAATCAAATCAAGTTTATTGGTGCTTGTATTGTAAAAAGACATGTTAACTTGTGCAGTGTCTTTCTGTGCATCTTTTTATATGCGTTTTTATAGAACAAAATGCAAGTAAACTTGTCCCATCGTTTGAATAAACAGTAGCCAGAGAATAAAAATAAAATGTACACAGAAGTATGTGCAAACCCCAACAAAGTTAATAAATAATTAAAAACTTTTTTAGTCAAAACAGGGGGGGGGGCAAGTTAACCTTAGTTTTAATCAAGGAAACAGCATCAAAATAGGAAGTATCTGTTGTTAATCAATACAAATGAACATTTCGAAAAAAAATATAATGATATGGTAACAAAACAACAGCAAACCAGAAAGGTAACATTTGAGACCGGGAGATTCTGCCGAAAATTACGGTGGGGCAAATTCTTTGTTGGAAGACAGTTTAATTTTTTACGCCAGAAAAAATTCGTATTGTAGGTCGAGCAAAGAGCAAGCATCATCATTATTCTCTGCTCTCAGCAGAACACGTTTATTTGAACAGAACGGATGTTTGTCCGTGTCCACAGAAGAGTATATTCTATATTGACACAAAACAAAAATAGGGACGTTCTTAAGGTCTTAACAATCCCCAGAAACATAAACCTTGACACAATGATTTTAACATAGTACTTTACAAACTATATGAGTGTAAATATAAAAGTAGGTTTATTGCAAGTTCATGCCCTCGGGCTAATTGCAGGTAACAAAGACACGGGAACAATGAAACAACAAAAGAATTATAAAAGCGGCTACATTCTTAAACTATGTCTGAGGGGTTGACTTCTGTTAAGCCGTATAAGACATAATGTCCCACCATTTCCAAGATGTGTGGGGTTTGGGTAGTTAAAAGAAAAGTAAATTTTTCTTTGTGTGTAAGTTTAGGAAATGTGGGATATATTTTAGAGGTTAGAATAGATAACTCATTTCGTGCGTTTTCGTGGAAAACATACATGTGGTTGTTTTGATCTTCAACCATATCTTTAGGTAGCTGCAAAGACAGTATCAAACTAGAAAGGCCAATATTTGCTTTGGAGCAAATACAGCGATGGGTTCACCACATTTTACGACATGGCAGGGAAAGAATGAGAAACACAAGGGAAAACAATGATTTACATTGATATAACTATAATATGAAGTAACATACGACTAAAACAACAGTTGGATAGCTATTCCCTACTTTATTGGTTAGGATTTTTAATTGCATAATGCAAACTGTTGATTTTCAAAATAAAAATAACGTTCATGCCCCGCATTCCAATGCTGGAGCAGGAAAGCTTGAAATACCTACCAAAACACTTGAATACAGACATACTGTCAGTATGGAAATGCTCTGTACAGGTGTTAATCAAGTTAAATCCCAACAGCCAATCAGCAAGAAATGCTCTGTGCAGGTGGAAATGCTCTGTGCAGGTGTTAATCAAGTTAAATCCCAACAGCCAATCAGCAAGAAGAATAGAGGAAAGCTGCATGCCTATTGGTTGATGTCCTGCATTCCATTGTGATGACTCATACCCAAACGTGGTAAACATGGCACACTAACACAGTAATACATTTGCTATAACACAGCCAAAAAACTCAAATAAAACCATTCTAAAAGCCTGTATCACAAAAATTTAAAAAACGCCTAGGGGTATTTGCCCACTGTACCTCCATACCAAATTCAGGACCTTAGGCCCTAAAATGAAGAAGCTGAATCCATTTAAAAAAATGGCAGGAGAAGAAGAAGAAGGAGGAGAAGAAGAAGAAACACCAGAAAAAGCAATATGGTTTCACCACACCACTTCGTGGTGTGGTGAACCCATAATTAGCCATATAGTATCCATTTCCCAGATTTACCATTTGTCACCACATTTGTCTGAGCTGTTGAAGACTTTCTCTAGCTAGGTGCCCAGTTCTAACCGTAGCGCTTTTGCCACCAGACATCTAGCTTGGAGGTTAGGGTTGATATACGTATACCGTTTACATTGCAGATATCAGAAACATGCTCTAGGGCCACAGCAAGTAAATTTTATGGATGACATCCTCCACAGACTCCAAATCTAATGCGATAGGGCGAAAAAAACAAGGTGTGCCAAAACAAAAAACAAGATTCTTACATTTTCAAATTTTGACATCACAAACCTTGTTAAACAAGAAATGATATATATATATATATATATTGTACTAAGTTTACTGCCAACTGTTACAGCATCCATTTGTCAATGAAAAATAAAAGTTTTCAATCATCGTACAAATGGGTTTGATTCAGTGGGGACATAACATATAAAAGGAATGAAGTACTGTACATCACTGCATCAAAGTAAAAGACAAAACATTAAATCAGAGCCTTTTCTTGTCTCGTCCCTTCATATTTATCTGCCATCCACGTTCCGGTATGGCAACATACATCTTTGCCTATTTTAGGCATGTTGACCACTGTCAGAGGGCAACAAAATTTCTTGTTTGTTTTTCTCCAAAATCAGGCGAAAATTATTGCGCGCGCTGATGTCATCCATAAAACTTACCTCCTGTGGCCTAAGGCCAGTTGACTTGATAGTATGGATGACATCCGCGCGCGCATGAATTTTCGGCCGTTTCCAAAAAAAAAAAAAAGTTTGTAACCATACTGTAAATCGTACAAAACAGTTGCAAAATGAGCAAATATATACCGTGAGTTGCAAAAAAATATATATTTGAAAACGATACCAATGACGTAGAATGCCAAAACCAAACGAAAAAGACAAGAAAATGTAAAAAAAATGCAAAGAAAATGTAAAGAAATGAATTTGAAGAGTAGATTATTCGCCATACTATACTCTGCTCTTTGTTTAACCTTCATGACCACGTAGATTTCATAATGAAAGCAACTTTTTTTTGCAAAACTTTTTTTTATTCGCGCATTCAGTTTTTGGGTTCCCAGACGATGTCATCCATATAATCAAATCAGCATGGCCTAATGCATTTACCTTAGATAAGCCGTGCGTACTTCCCGTACACCTGGCTGCTTTCTCAGCCTCACGCAGACCGTTCTACAAACACCCGCGTTCCAACATTGCCTCTCTTCTGCCCTGAAAGTCTCTTTGCTACCAAGAGAACGGGTTCAACATTTGTGTAGGTAAGTGTATCTTATTTTGGCACTTCGAAATACTTTCTTCTCAGGTTGCTCACTAGTGGGGGCCCGCATGCCCTTTTCCGTACGTAGAGCGTAATCGGCAGTTTTAATTCTACGTAGAGCGTAGACGGACCGCTCTAATCCAACGTAGAGCGTAATTGGCGCATTTTGCGTTGAGCGTAATTCGTGTTTTTATCAACTATACGTAATGCGTTGTAGGCACTTGGAATTTATCGTAAAGCGTAATAGCTACTGTAGCGTAGCCGGCTCTCAAAATTTTAGCGTAGAGCGTTTTCGGGATCCCCCCATGCAGGCCCTCGCTAGGCATCCCAGGCTAGAAGCTAGGTATGCCCATCGGTATTTCAGGTTACGATCAACGACGGCTGTTTATTTTAGAAGGCAAGCCATAAGCCAGGCCACATGTAAAGGTATTACTTAAAAGCTGAGGTGGGACACAGTTTACAATTTATAAATTATAATTTTTTTTATATTCCAACATTTCATGACCAAACATGGCGAGGGCACACTCAAGTTATATCAACTTATTTTATGCCGCCACCAACACAGAGTACAAATACTGGCAGGGCAATACTCATTTCCACCTGAGTGAAGTGAGGAAAGTCGTGAGGAAAGTGCCTTTCTCAAGGGCATCGGTGGCATGTCAAGACTCGAACCCGGGACCTCTTGGTTCCGAGTCGAGCACTCTGCCGCTACATACGCCACATGACCCCACAACGACACAGTTTGTTTCAGAAGCCGTGAATTTTAATTCGCACCGGGCAACCCGGATTCTACCAAAAATTTCACAGAAACCTACTCTCCAAGCAGAGGTTTGGGTTTGGGGGGTATTTTTAGCGTGTTTTTATGCTTTTTTTATCGGGGTTTCTCTTTTGCACTGAATTTTTTTCCCACCAAAAAAAATGGGGAAAAAAATTCAGTGACAAAGAGAAACCCCGATAAAAAAAGCCTAAAAACACGCTAAAAATACCCACAAACCCAAACCTCTGCTTGGAGAGTAACAGAAACCACGCGAGAGTGTGTAATTCGAACCCTTTCGAATCCTGCATTTCACGAATTGATATTACTCTTCCCTGTGACCTACACTTGGCTGCCACATAGCATACGACGGTCAGCAATGGAATGAATGCGCTGAACTGGGTATCATGTTCCTTTGTAGAGCAAAACGCATGATGTCTGTCAATTTTTTGGTCAATTTGAGTCAATTTTCTCTTCATTCTTTTTGTGTAGTAAGTTGAATCAATCCTATATCCCATTTAAGCTTGTTTTGTATATAAGGCCATGTTGATTTGATTATAAGGATGACATCCTCCGGGAGCCCCAAAACTGATGCGCGCGTGCGAATAAAAAAAAAAGTTTTGCAAAAAAAAAAAGTTATTTTCATTATGAAATCTACGTGGTCATGAGGGTTGAGCAAATGGCACAGAATATGGTTTGGCAAATAATCTAGTCTTCAAGTTCATTTCTTTACAATTTCGTTTTTTTTTCGTTTTATTTTGGCATTCTACGACATTGGTATAGTTTTTATTAATTTTTTTGGTAACTTATGGTATATTTTTGCTCATTTTGCAACTGTTTTGTACGATTTACAGTATGGTTGAAAACATTTTTTTTTTGGAAACGGCCGAAAATTCATGCGCGCGTGGATGTCATCCATATAATCAAATCAACATGGCCTAATATATCGTAGGCTGGTTCTAGCAAGGACGTTTTGTCACATATGGGCGATAACCAAAGAATAAAGAGACGCTTCACAAAGCTTGTTTTGGGGCTATTTCAAGCGCTTGCACAAATTGATATCTACTAATTACCCGTAGTTATTAGAGAATAACTAGATTTTAATTAGGCAATTAGGTTATTCTCTAATAACTACGGCTAATTAGTAGATTTGTGCAAACGTACGTTTGTAGCTTTGACCATTTTGCAAATGAAAATCATACTTTTATTTCAGTTACTTGTATCAAAGTGCTATATTATGACTTTAAAGATATTTACATTTGGGGCAATAAAATGTGATGACGTCATCCATATAACCCTTTTCTTGTCAATATAAAACAGACTTCCTAAACCAGAATATCTTCATTTTGTCTTGCCGCCCTGAAGTTGCATTGGATGCCTTTAATTTACAGTGAATGGGCTGAACTGGCTATCGTGTTCCTTTGTAGACTGGCAAAACGCATGATGTCTAGTGCCCTAAGCCCTGAAGGTCTCCGTGTCATATTTCAGGGTGAATTCTTCTACTCGTCACAGCGTAATAGACCCGGCATTTGGAGCCAGAGGTTACCGTAAAATAGGTGACGAAGCATTGGGGTAGTCTCCACCAGACTCCTTTTGCAGGCTGAACAAGTAAAATCTAAAGATTTTATATCTCCGGGCTTTTATTGTAAATTTTTATATGTAATTTGTTATGTATAGTTGATGGTGTTGAATTTTATGTGTTAGAGAAGATGCATGTGCACAACAACAATTGTTGCGCGCTGCAAGACTAGGGGTTTAACAAAGAATTTATCGAGACCGGACACCCCTCTTTGCGAGGGGTCATATACGTGGACCAGACCGAGAATAGCTTAAACACGCCAAAGGTCAACGGTCGCCACCATTTTCACGCCCGAAAACACATATACAATAAAAATAAAAAAAACGTGCATCATCTAAAGCCCAATAGCAAAACATACACCGAGTCCCAAAAAAATCCGTCCACCCAAACGTGAGAAACAGCTGCGAACACGAAAATCTAAATCTCTCACAAAACCCTTCCGCGGAAGGATGTCTCCTTCCCCGGAGGTAATAAATAGTAGAAATCGGCCTAAAAAGGGGATATCATTGGCCAGAGGTGTTGGCCGCCAAGAGAATCTCCATTTTGCCTGCACGGAGTCTTTGAAAAGTATGAATTGTAGATTCACAAAAAAAATTATGTAATTCAAAAGAGCTATGTAACAAGTAAGCATGCAAATTTGTTATGAAATACCATTCTTGCACATTTGTTATCAGGATCATTGTAATGATGAGCTACAAAACATTGGTCCTTTGACTAGCTTTGGGGTGGGGCATTATGCAATATTTGATAATAACTTTATTGCGCAACAGTTGTACAGGGTACAAAGTATGGCATCTACTAACTTAAGATTGTAACTAACTTGTAATAAAAAAAAGTAGTAATATTTTGAAAAAAAAAACATAAAAAAGAAAGACTGCTATTTTGAAAAAAAAACATAAAAAAGAAAGACTGCGCCCATTCCTAGTTTATTCAGCAGTTTAGGTGCTAGTAAGTTTTAAATAGACTTTGTACTGTGCATGTGCGAGTTTTCACACATTGATTATTATGTATATATAGTTTGCTAAAATGTGACCCCCACCCTGCATTTTGAAGGTTTTTTTTAACGTCAGTATTTTGTTCTGAAATTCCTACCATGAAACGCGATGTGAGGCATCCAATGCAGTGTCAGGGTGGCAAAACTGGATTTTTCAAATCAATTTTCTGGTCATTCTTTTAGTGCAGTATATTGAATTAACCGTATCCCATAGCATCATGGTATCTGTGAGGCAAAAATTCGATGTTTCCAATAGAAAACAGTTGCTTGTTTATATTGTAGGTTCTAGCTATTTATGGGTGGTGCCCACAAAATTAGAAAGAAAGAGACTTCTTCACGTAGCTTGTTTCTGGGCTATTGCTTCAAATATAAATAAAAAAACAATACCTCTTATTTCACGGAGGTAATGATGACAAAAATGGCAGTAAATGTCAATATCAGACAGATTGAAGAAAAAGAAGAAGGTCTCCCGTGCTCTTATGCAGAACGTAGGGAGGTGCCCATCTCCATTTCTGTACCCCTTGGGAGACCCACAGTTGTGCAAGGCATTACAGCAGGGGGCTAGTCCGCTGGTATACGTAGTGCTGTGTGTTTGACCTTCCCACACTCTTTCTCATATGTACTGAGTGCTAAGCAGAGAAAGAAGTGTGTGCCATTTTTAAAGTCTTTGGTATGACCCGGCCGGGGTTTCGGAACTCACGACCTCCCGGTTACAAAGCGAGCACTCTACCAATTGAGCAATATTGCAGATTGCCTCATCCATAACATTGGATGTCTTCAAAAATAGAAATGTCCAAATGGCACGTTTGAGTTTGAGATGGTTATCACATCTGTTGTTCTGGATATCTGGGTCATAGTGTCTACCACACTTCACTGGGGCGCCCGATGATTGATGTAGTGGCTTTCCTGTCGGCCCCTGTGTAGCCATAGCCCGAGTGCGATCCTACACAGTTATGCTGAGGTCACATTTCGAAACCGGGGCCCGGCCGGGCTGTTTCGGTTAACGAAAAATCAACAATTTATATCAATAATATACGCCAGTTATTAATTTTTTTTCAATTTTTTTTGTGCTTTGTTGTCTTTTATATCATACTTTTCCGTCCATAAGACTGCCCGGCCGGGCCCCGGTTCGGAAATGTGCCTGACAGATGTCCCTGACAGAAAACGGTTGCATGTTTTGTATACTAGTAGGCTGGTTCTAGCTATTTTTTGAGACAACTCACGTAGATTGTTTTTTTTAAACGCTTGAAGTATGAAATGACGACAAAAATGTGCTCATAAATGACATCTATGATTCTATAAGACAATTCTATAAGACAGAGTGAACAATTCCTCATCCAGAATATTTTTAGTTTTGTGGCAATCGCATTCCACTGGATGCCTTTTTAAAAGATATACATAAACAGTCTGTATTTGGGTTGAAGATGTTCTAATTTCATCCGTAAATAAATTTGACTTGTATCTGACCATACGTTATATAGTCCATGTCATGTCAGAAAGTTAGGCCACATCGACTTAATTTTATGGATGACATCCGCGCGCGCATTGATTGTCGCCTGTTCTCAAAAAAAGCACGTCCTCCGAGGCTCAGGCCTGGGTAGTCCATGGTAGTTAGCGACAATACGGAGCCGGCTGGAACTCTATAGGATGGCACACAGGCTAACGAAGCCCCACGACTCAAAAACACAGTACATACATACAGTGCCGAGTCATAAATTCCGCAAAAAGCCAGTATGTGTCGGCTTGTCGTATACGTCGCTATGTACTGCCTCAGATTCACAATACCAGCTTTGTATTCCTGTGGTTTAGTAGCATTTTTATTGTTGGCCGGAATTTTTTTTATTCGCCCGGGCGCACTAGTCTAGGGGTCTTCAGACAGAGGATGTCATCCATAAAATTAAGTGTGGCCTTATGTTGTTGCGGAGCGTTCCGCTAGTGGTCTGGTGGCCAAAATTCGTGACTGTGTGACAGGGGCTTTAATGACTGAGTAACACTATCATGCTGATGGATCACCTATTTGCCTGTTATGTAGACGATGACTGTTTTCCTTGCTGTCTTGCTCCTTGCGTCGGTGACGAGCGCCGCCAGGCTGCCGCTGCCGGAAGTGCAGCAGGGTAGGAGCACCACCCCCACAACTACACCATTGACAACCACTCCGGGCTTCCAGACAACCACTCCTTGTAAGGAAAAAAATCATAATCAAGAAAAAAAGCCCATCATAACGTGTACATTTTGTTTTGATTATTACGATATGCATTTCTCAATCATGTACGCATATTAAATTCTTGCAGCTTTTTCTAGTGAACTCCAAGTCTATATCGGGGGACGGTATAGGCTTCCGGGCACCTTTGACCCATGTCATTATTGACGTCAGAAGTAACAGGCCAGGCAAATACAAAAGCAAGACAGATCATTCAGCTTGAATTCATCTAATCATATATTTTCCCAATAAATCAGGAGTTTAAACTTACGTAATTCTTTATTTAGATCATTCAGTTTGAATTCATAATTTCATATCTTTTTCTAATAAATCATACGTAATTCTTTTTATAAATCATTCAGTTTCAATTCATATTTTCATATCTTTTTCTAATAAATCATAAGTTTAAACTTACGTAATTCTTTTTATAGATAATTCAGCTTGAATTCATCTTTTCATATATTTTCCTAATAAATCATAAGTTTAAACTTACGTAATTCTTTTTATAGATCATTCAGTTTGAATTCATCTTTTCGTACCTTTTCCTCATAAATCAAGAGTTTAAACCTACGTAATTCTTTTTTAGACCATTCAGCTGGAATTAATCTTTTTATATCTTTTCCTGATAAATTAAAAGTTTAAACTTATGTAATTCTTTTTTAACATATACATATGTTAATGAGAGTCACATGGTTCGTTTAATATTCATATTTAGCAATTATATTGTATTGTTCATTTTTTTCAGTCCCAACCACCACCGGTTCTTGGCCGGACTGGG